ATCTTTAAAAAAAAAAAAAAAAAAAAAAAGTCAATGGGGTTATGTGAACTGTGGGGGAAACTACACTACAGTTTTGGTTTTCTTCTGAGCACCTTTTACATTTAAACTTCCATACCCTCCAGGGTGGCCACACAAATGACAGAAGGGGAGGCCGAGCTGGCCACCCAGAACTAGGGCTAGAGGGCTGGGTTACCTGGTGATGATGGCCAGGTGGGGAGGGTTCATGCAGGCCCCCATGAAGAGCACCACGTTCTCGTGCCGCGTCTGCCGGTAGTTCATCACCTCTTTCTTGAATAGCTTCAGGTGGTCCTGGTTGTGGCCGTCCATCTCTAGCAGGCGAATGGCCACCTCGCCGTGCCAGCGGCCGCGGTGCACCCGACCCCAGCGGCCCTGCCCAATGGGCTCACCCAGCTCTACCTGCTCAAAGGGGATGTCCCACTCCTGCAGGTACACACTGGTCTGGCTGGCCTTGCGGGAGATGGGGCCCCGCCAGGGCCGGCGGGAGCTCGGCAAATCATCCACCTCATCCTCATCGTCTTCTGCCTCTGACTTGCCAGCCTCCGGCTCCTCAGCCTGAAATAACAGAGAAAGGCTGCAGATCTGGGCTCAGACTACCTCTCTTCCCTTTCTTGGAGCTACGTCCAGATAAGGGAGGAGAGAGGCATGGGGTCAGGAGACCCGTGTTCGAGCTGCAGCTCTGCAATGGCTTGCTGTGGACAGTGGGCAGGGGTCATTTAGCATCCTTGGGCCTCAATGTCCTCATCCACAAAATGTGGTGGCTGGCCTGGCTGATCTATGAGGTCCTTCCTCCTGCTAACACACCAAGATCTACCGATGAGCAGTGTGGAATTGTTTAGGGAGGAGCATTAACATCCTTGACAGGAGAACTTAGCTGTGCTCATCCTTCTGGCGGTTCCTTTACTTGAACACAGAGTTTCTGACTCTCCCCTGGGCAGGAGTAAATCAGTCTGTTAATTCTCTAAGCCGTATTGCACTGCAGGGATCCAGGCTCAGTTGACATTTTTGTTCAAGGGTCAGGACAGTGGTTCTTGACCCTGGTTACAATCCGAATCACCTGGGGAACTCTGACAACGTACAGATGCCTGGCTCCACTCCACACTAACTGACCGAGTCTCCCAAGCCAGGGCCCAGGTCTCTGGGCTGAGAGCAAGGACCATGAGAATTAAGAGCTTATTTTAGTTAGCTCCAAAACAGGGAAGCAAAGGCAAGCTCGCTCCGTCGCGTTCCTTGTCATTCTTCCCTGCCAGAGACATCTGCCTGCGCCTGCTATAGTGGGCACCCAGGATGGTCCTCGCTAGGGTCCAGCACTCGCACACTCCGCAGAGCCCTACACAGTCTGGGACGGGGAGCGGAGAGCAGGAGAAGGGCTGTCTATGGACTTGTTTGTGTCGCCCTCACTCACCTCCACTTCCTGACCCTCCAACACATCTGCTTTTGGCTGGTCGTCGAGCCTAAGAGCAAAAGAGGGTTTGTCAAGGGGACCCTGAGGGAGGGCTCCTCTGCTCCCAGCTGGGCAGGAGACTCCCAGGTGAGGTCTGAGACAAAAGGTCGCCAGGCCTGGATCCTTCCTTTGACCCACTAGCTGTGGCAAAGGCAGTGTGGACACTGTGAAGACGGGCAGGAGGCTGAGGACGTGGCCCGCTTCTTCTCTGGCCTCAGCCTTCTCCAGGCTAGCTTGAGGGTGGTGGGGGACAAGGGGTGGGCAGTAACCACAGGGTCCCTTTCAAAGGTGACACTGCAGCACAGAGGTTCAGAGCACATCCACAGGATGTAGAGTCCGACAGCCTCACATTTGAGAACTGGATCTGCCGCTTCCTGCTGTGGGATCTTAGGTGGTCTCTAAACCTCTCTGAGCCGGCTGTACTCACAGACAACACCTACTTCGACACCTATTTCACCGGGCCGAGGACTACACGGGGAACTTGAGTCCAGTGCTCAGCACAGGCTGACATGGAGAAAGGGCTCAATAACCAAGACCTATTTTTAGCAGGTTGTGCTTTAAAAGGTTTTGCCCTCTGTCCACCGCTCCTGGGTCACGAGACTGCCCAGTGTCACACTCAGCCCCTTCCCAATGTGGACCACACCAACAGGAAGCAAATGAAGCCTCTGGCTGAGTTAACCGGCTGGAGAGTGTGTTAGCGTGGGGAGTTGTCCATCGGGCTGGCCCAGGCATATGGTGACGTCCTGAGCAGGAAGGGTCAGAGATTTAGAAGTGGGGGAAGCAGGTGGATGAGATGGATCCAGCCTTAACAAGTCCCCGTGGAGGAGGAGGGGACGAGCATGGGGATGCCTACCGCGTGCTGTCGGCTGCATCGGGGAGCGGGGCTGCCTGCGGAGAGGCTGCAATGTCTGGAGGAAACAAAACACAAATACAAAGCATGATCCACTTTTCCACTACCCCCCGCCCCCGACACCATGAAACCCAGGACACCTGGGGAACTCAACCCTCCCAAATGGGCTGCCACACGTCCTCCAGGCCACTTCCACTAGGATCAATTGGGCTTTTCCGTAAGACCGCACATGGACTCAGCCTCTCCAGCAGTCGTCTCTGCCCACACCACTATGTCCAGGAAGGGACCCCAGGTGGTGAGGAGGGTGAGCCTTCTCAGTCAACACCATTCACCTGTGGCCAATCTCCTCCATACAAGCAAGCAGAAAAAGAAAACTGCTATCATTTACTAGACACGCGAGCCAGAGCCGCCTTCTCTTCGGGAGGGTCCTCCTGTTTGGAGGCAGGGGCTGGTTGCAACAAGCCTTGAAAGTAGGGAGACTCCTTCACTTAGGCTAGCAGAGGCCAAATGCAGGATTCAGACCTGCAGGTAGCTCGTTAGTGACACCTGGTGCCTGGTGCAGCTGCCAGACATTTCCAGAGCTGAGCGCCAACCCCACCCCCCACCCCCGCATCCCCCAGCTTCTGGGTTCGGGTCACTGGTGGAGCAGGTCTCAGGGAGAGGAAAAATTCACAGTCCACACATCAGGGGGGCCAGGATCGGACTGCTGGGGCTGACCCCTGAGTCTGGGGTGTTCCCAGATTCAGGACTGAAAGTCCCATATGCAGGACACGAGAACAGATGGTCATCCCAGTGTGGAACCAAAGTGCTTACAGGCAGGCTGGTCATCCCAGGGCTGGGGCAGACCCCTCACTCCCCCTCCTTTTCAGCAAAAAGAGACCGAAAGTGGCAGTGGCTCAGCTGTCAGCAGCCCCTTTCCTGCCTTCATGGACAAAGACCCGCACTGCTCAGCCATCAGACCTCCCTGGACCTCCCTCTGGGGCTTCTCCAAGGCTACCTCTCCAGGTCATCTGACACAGAGGCTGTTAACATCTCTGGGACCTCACAGACTTAGAGAATCTAACAGAGGCTACAAGCCTTCTTATCAGGGAAATGCACACATGTGCCCAACACATCCTGTGCACAGTTTCTGGGGGATTGCGGACCCTAGAAGTGTCTGCTGAGGCCTCCCCCAGACACCACTACAACATGTCCACAGATGACCAGAGGTGGCCTGGCGGTTCCACCCACCCAACAGTGCTGCTCAAATGTTCCCACAGAAAATAAACACATGCCTGGGGGGAGTAGGAGGAACAGGGGGTTTGAGAAGACACAGCAACCCAAGTGGGAAAGCAAAATATCTCTGAAGCCTCATACTTTTCCTTAAAAGCTAAGAGTGTATTGTGCATTCTTGTCCAAAATATTGTCCATGTTTGTTTTAGTAGAAATAGATTTCCTTCCCCTCCCCCTGACATATCTTCAGGGCAAGCGAAGGAAGAGCCATGTTTTCCCAGTGTTTGGAGGTCAGTACCCTGTATGCGTCCAAGAGCTAGCAGCCAGGAGCAGAGCCCCAGCAAGAGCGAGTGTGAAACCACAGGGGCAGCTCAGCTACTCTCAGGCAGACTCCATGGGGCGGGTCCCAGGCCCCGACTGCTGCCGGCCTGCACACACCTGAGCAAAGCCTCATGGATGGTCCTGTAGGGACCCACAAATGCTCCAAGTTAGTCCCCTAATAGAGCTGGGTTGTGGGATAACAAAATACTGTGACATCAACATAGTCCTATTTAACCCAGGAAGAAAACAATTAGCTACAGCCTTTTTTCTAAAACACATCTTTAGCCAGAGAATAAAACACTGATCTTGTAAACTCCTTAGGGGAAGAAATATGGTCAAATGCAAAGGTTGGCACATAGTAGGTGCGCAAAACAATTTTTGTGTAAGAGAATCAGTGGATAGTCTTAATGAACTCAAAGTTTTTTCCTTTTAACGTCTTGCAATAAGGAGGCATTTCCAATGATGGCCAGCAGATGGCACTGAGCAGTAAGGCTCAGAAAGGTGAAGGAAGCTGAATAAATGAAGCCAGCAAACCTTCCCCAGTTGGTCTCCCTTCTAAAAGACAAGGTAGTAGTTTCCCTGTCATTATGTAGGGGAGATAGAGTGACATATGCTCATGGGCCATTTGCAAAAAGTCCTCTCCCTCCATTCTGTAAACCTGGGCTATTCTGCTTCTGCCACCTCCTGGCTGTGTGACCTTGAACAAGTCACCTGCAGTCCCTGTTCAAGAGGCTAGATAGAATAGATTCCAGGGTCCCTCTTAGCAAGGCACTGCCCATGTAAGGGCCCCACCTCCAAGATACTTGCCCTCTCCCCTTGCCCAGCTTCAACAGGCAGTCAGTTCTCAAAATAGGTAGAGAGAGACTCAAGCACCTTCAAAGGTGCCCGGGGAGGGGGAGCACCCAGGTGGGCTGAACAGAAGAGGTCACAGGAAGGGGCAGTTAGTGGAACCATGCAAAGGACTCACCTGGAAAGATAAACTGCTGTCTATGATGAATGAAGTAGGCAGCTTTAAACAGAAGAGGAGGTGAGTCACACACGCAGAACGGCAAATGCAGCGAGGGAGGAGGGGGACACAGGCATGGGCTTGGGGGAGGGGACTGGTTAGGGCTGGCACTGCCCCACCCCAGGTGAGCCTGGCAGGGACAGGCTGAACCATGCAGAAAGAAGGAAAGGGACTGGGAGCAAATGGACACTGGCAGGGGCCTGCAGGAGTACAGGGGCTTGCACTGGAGGACTTCAGGTTCCGAGACCCAGTCTCAGTGGCCACCTTGCTGCAGAGCCCTGGCCAGCATTCTGCTCTGTGAAATGCACATGAGCCCAGGAGGGAGAAATACAGTGGGGCAGAAAAACAATGCTTCCGAAAAAGTTTAAGTGTCGTGTGCAGAAGAATGGCCTCCTCCACTTGACCCCACCTTTAGCCCCGGAATGTCTCACCTCAGCATCTTCCCTCACACCCCTAGCAAAAAGAATCTCTCCTACGGGGGACTGAAAGGGAGAACAGATGCACTGGGGTTCTAGAATCTGACACAGCACGTTCTAACCTCAATTCCACCACTTACTCGGCTCTGGGACCTTGGGAAGTTGGTTAACCATCCACTGGCCTCACTGTAAAATGTGGGGGTATAAATGACCTTTTCCGGGTTATAACGCTCCTGTGTAGCACAGAGCAGGTGGACAACGGGAGGAGTTCCTTCCCCAGATTAACCAACAGGCAGGCCAGCCCAGCCCCCAAGGGGTTGGCTCCTTTGGCTGCCATGACCAGAGAGATATGATCAGGGAAAGAGTAAGGCCTCTGTGCAGGGGACAATGAGGGCCCAGTCTGGGTCATCAGGGAAAGCAGAGAGGACCTGGCTGATAATGCAAAAAGGACGCTTTTTGTGGCTGTTCTTTTCAAATAGGCCCTTCCTTTTAGAAAAAACCTAAACTAGGAGGTTTGTACAATTTCAGAGCATAATAATGAAGCAGAATGGGAGAGGAGGTTAATCAAATGGGCCATCGCTCAATCGCAGGGAGGAGTGGGGTGTGCTCGGGTTAACGTCAGGAGATATCCAGCCATGTGCTTATTAAGGCAAAGGGACAGGCAAAAGAGGAAGACAGATTCCTACAAAATCTCAGTCTTTCACCACCCCAAGGAAGTTCCCAGAACCCTGGTGAGATGGGTCCAGAGAGGTTGCCTGGTCTTCAGCTGGCTGAATGTGGCCCCAGCTGGGGGTCCCCTGGCATAGGAAGAGCTGCATCTCTGTCCTTCTGGGCCTGGAGCTCCAGGGGCCAGCGACAAGAGAGCCTGACCTGGACCCTGGCCTGTGGCTGGACCCTCAGCAATCAGGACTGTCGCAGCTGCCTGCCCCTCCCTTCCTTGGGGACTGCACACTAAAGTAAACGGAGGGCCAAGACTGACCTCGAGGAGCTGCCAGGAAGTCAAGGCAGCAGCTCAGTCCTGAAATGGGAGAGTGGGCTTCACTGTGCTCCTTGGAGAGGCAGGACACCCCAGGCCTGGCCGGCAGCTGAGCACAGGCGAGGCTAGGATCCTGCCCTCACCCTACAGACTCCAGGGCGGCTGGGCTGTGCGTAGAGTCAGAGGTCAGCTCTGCTCAGGTCTGCTCCACCAGGCACTCCTGTGGGACGCAGTGTCCTCATCTCTACAACGGGGACAACCTAATTCCAACTTCACGTGACCTCCTTGTTTTATAGAAAGGGAACAAGGTCTCCTTTGAGTAGCTTGTCCAGACCACACGGCAGGCGAGCAACAGGGCCCCAGATTACTCTACAAGTACTTCTAGTTCCCTGTGCTGCTGTCATCCCTCCTGGGAGCTCAGAAGCAGCCCTGAATGAGTGAGCGATGCTCAGGAGAAGCCACCCCATGCAGAGGAGCGCAGCAAGGGGATTATGTCAAGAACCCAGGTTTTACGTCAGATAAATTTGGGTTTGGTATTGGCTCTGCCGCCTACAGGCTGCACAACTCAGGGCAAGCCACACCCTCTCTCTGAACCTCAATGTCCCCATCTGTAAAATGGGTACAACAACAGCATCAACCTCAGAGCTATTGTGCTTGAGGCGCTCAGCTAGTGCTCTATAAACATCAGCTCTTAGTGGCAGCAGTGTCTGACCTTGAACCCACCAGGCTGTGTTGAGCCAGGGTGATCTGACTATATCCCTGAGAACCCAGAAAAGCCCAGCAGTATGGTACCTGGGAAGTTGAACCGGCTGTCCCGCTGGCCAGGCGAGGGGTTGGGGGGCGTGGTGGCACTGGAGGGGTTGGATGACGTCGGGAAGGGTGCTGGTGAGGAGGGCGTGGAGGACGTGGTGGAGGAGGGATTGCTGCTGGAGTCCAGGTGGTTCATGGCTGGAGGATGCTCCTGCAGGACCAGACGTTGCCAGGAGTGCCAGGGCTGTCAGTGCCCTGCCCAGCCTGCCTCCCACATGCCCCCTTCCCCGTCTAAAAAGAAGAGGTCATCCCAGGGGATCCTCAGGGTCTTGCCTTCTAGGAGGGGCGGCACACACAAGACCCTCACCTCAATGCCCATCCCTTGGAGGAATCCCGCTCATCTTTCTTATTTCAGCTCAAACATCCTTTCCTCCCTGAAGCCTTTCCTGAACCCAGGCTGAGACCATGCTCCTCCTCTTTATCCTCCCATAGCTCCCAGCAGGCTTTCATTGGGGCACTTTAAGGTTTGTCAACTGCAGATGTGCTCATGTGGTACTCTGAAGAACGTCTCTCTCATCACACACCCCAGGGCCTGCCTCTAACCCGGGCATATAGTGGGGCTTTTTAATGAATTAAATTTGGCCTCTGATAAGTGTGTACATCTACTACGTGCCAGACACTGTGCTAGAAGGAGATGATGACGAGCGAGAGGCATACGTCCTTGTCTTTGCAGACCTTGTTGTCCCAAAGACACTGGGAACTCCCAGAGCCTATATTACACTGAACACTCTAAAAGAGGTAACAGCGTGAGTTGTGCTGTTGGCCGTCTTGAAGGAGTTAAGAATTCCAGAACTGGAATGACCTTCTAGAAGATGACCACAGGAGCTCGTTTGTTGGGACAGGACTGGTTCACTCCTGTTGTCCCGACTTAAATGTTAATGTCATCCCTTTCACACCCAAAAGCAAGCACGGCCCCCCTACCAATAGATGACACCTGCCAGTGCTTGCCATGGGATATAGCTATGTTGGGTGGTCCATGAGATGATGTTAGGAGGCCCTGGACACAACACAGAGAGCAATGAGCCAGAGAGAAGAGCGCTCTGTTCTCCCTTCTCATTCTGCCAAGAGGAAGGCCTCGGTCAGGGCTGCGGTGTCTTTAACGCCTCTCCAACACCTGCCAATCTCCTCCCACACAGAGCGAGGGCGTCAAGCTCCGAGTCTTAAGCAAGCGTGATATCTAGATAGAATTTAATAACTTTTTGGTTTTAATGGTATTTAATGATAACTTTCTTTTTTTTTTTTTTTTTTTTTTTTTTTTTTTTTTTTTTTTTTTTTTTTTTT